AGCCCCACAGGGCCTGCTGTGGGAGCCAGGGCCCCGGCCCCAGGGCAAGGCAGGGGCAGGAGTCCCCTGGGCCAGGCAGGGCAGTCCAGGCCAACTCCAAGGGGGCTGAGCCAGCCCGTGGGGGATGGGCTGCTCCGCACTGGCCCCCCACAGGAGAGAGCAGAGCAGCCCCGAGCCTCCCCTCGTCCCGAGCTGGCGCCTGCTGACAGCTCACGGCTCATCAGCCCTGCTGGGCAGAGCACGGGGGGGCCAGGCCTGTGCCAGCAGCGCGCTGGTCCTTACCGCCCCCGGCGGGCGCCTGCGCCAGCTCCTCCTCCGTGACAGGGATCCGCACCCCCTCCTTCGGCCGGAAGGGCGGCACGGCCATGGCTTGCAGTGTCTCCCTGGCCACCACCCGGTCCCGGGGCACCTGGAGTCGGTGCATCTGGGCAAAGAGGCTGGCAGCGGCCATGATGTACCCCATGTGGGTGCTCTGCAAAGAGCCCGGCTCAGCAAGGGCAGCCCGTCCCTTCCCCTCCTCCCAGACACCCCCAGCCCACCTGGGAGCCCTCCTGGCAGGAAGAGCAGAGGGACCCTTGGGAGCTGGCTGGCTCTGCAAGTGCCCCTCACTCCCAACCGGTGCATCTGGGCAAAGAGGCTGGCAGCGGCCATGATGTACCCCATGTGGGTGCTCTGCAAAGAGCCCGGCTCAGCAAGGGCAGCCCGTCCCTTCCCCTCCTCCCAGACACCCCCAGCCCACCTGGGAGCCCTCCTGGCAGGAAGAGCAGAGGGACCCTTGGGAGCTGGCTGGCTCTGCAAGTGCCCCTCACTCCCAACCCCCCACATCCATCCCCCCAGCCCCTGTGGTCTCCTGCGCATCACGGCCTAGATCTGCGCTGGCGCCATCCCAGCCTGGCACTGTTCCTCCCCATGCCCGCCTGTACCCTGCACCATCACCCACGCCCACCTGCCCGCACCGTCGCCCACACCTGGCCCACCATCTACCCGCCCGCTTGTACCCTGCACCGTCACCCATGCCCACCCACCCACCTGAACCCTGCACCATCGCCCAACCCGGCCCCACCATCCCTGCACTGTTGCTCACGCCAAGCAGGAGTCCCTACAATACCAACTCTTACACAGGCACCATCCCCACACAAGCCAGCTCTCATCTGCTGGCCTCAGCAATAGGCCCCCTCCCAGCATAGATCCCAGCTCTGCCACTGGCCCCGCCCCCCACATCCAGGTAGGGAGGTGACCGACTAGTCGACTATCCAGTAAGCAAATGCTTGTCGAATAGCCCACACAGCAGTCGTGCTCCCCCCGCTACCTTTCAGAAAGAGGCAGCGGGGGGGGGGGGGGGGGGGGGGGGGGGGGGGGAGGGTGCTTCAAAGTGGCAGCACCGAATGGAGCCTGGGGCCAGACCCCGGGCTCCATGCAGCGCTGCCACTTTGAAATGCCGCATGCAGCCTGAGGTCCCCAGCTGACCCCAGGCTCCATACGGCACTGCCGCTTTGAAACGCCGCAGGGAGCACGGGGCTAATTGAGCCCCCGCTGGCCCCGTGCTCCCCGCAGCGCTTTCACCTGTGAAGTAAGGGTGTTAAGTAGTGTGTAATCGACTAGTCGATGTATTTTTGCACTGACTATTCGATTAGTTGATGGGTGGCGCTGCCTCTTTGAAATGCCACAGCGGTGTTTCAGAGGGAGCAGCTCTGCCCGGAGTCCCTAGCTGACCCCAGACTCTGTGCAGCGCTGCCCCTTGGGGGCTGCAAAGGGGGTACATCAATCTGATAGAGGGCTATCCTGTCGACTATCCGATAAGCATTTGCGTTTCAACTAGTCCTTCCCAGCCCTACTCTGAAGTGCCCAGGGCTGCTGCTGCACTTCGAAGGTGGAGGTGCCCTTATCAACTAGTCGATTGCTTCAAGGGTTCCATTAGCCAATTCGTCTCAATTTAACATCCCTGCTCCAGGGCCCCACTGCCCTCCACTCACATTGTCGTAGTCAAACTCCAGGGGCTGGGGGCATCTCTTGGGCGGCGCCCAGAAGGGGATCCCAGGGCTGATCTCCTGGGACAGAGGAAGCCACAGTTCAGGCCCGAGCCAGGGAGGGTCCCAGCCAAGCCAGGCTCCCTCCCAGTGCTCTGCTCTGGGGCAGGGCCCAGAGACCTGTGCATGTGGGAGTAGCAGCAGGGCTGTGGGGGCCTGCAGAAGGTTGGGCTGGGGGTAGGCAGAGGCGGGGTGATGAGGCTCCGTGCAGGGGCTGGGAGCGGCAGGTGGGAGCCTGGGGGCAGAGGTACCACGTGGGAGGGTGCTGGAGCGGGCGGGGGGAGGGGGAGTTCGGAGCCCAGGGGCTGCTCACGTGGCCAGGCGGGAAGGCATGTAGCAGCTGCAGGACCGCTTGGTGATAGAGGCTCTCCCAGCGCCACCGGGCCCAGCGCACACAGTCCTGCCAGCTGCGCGGCGTCTCCTGCAGGCTGCTGCGCACGCCCTCCAAGAG